GTAACTGATGTGATACAGCAATCTGTATACGGGGTAAAATTGTGAGTTCATAACCCACTTGAATCAAACTGTGAAATACTATGTATCAAGAACTATGTAATGTTTTGAACGACCAACAATAAAAAAAAAAAAAGAATCAATAAATGGGATGGAATCAAACTAAAAAGCTTCTTCACAGCAAATGAAACAAGGATCCAGGGACCAAGATGAAGTCAAACTTCATGTGCTATGGCTTTGTGGGACAGAGTAGCAAGCAGAGTCTTAGGAAAACAGGAGATGACCATTTTTTTAAGCATTAAGAGATTTGCTTCAAGTTACGACATATCATTACAGTTCAAAAGCCTTTGGTGAATGTCTTATAATCCACCCTGTCAAAATGATTGTGTTTTCTAGGTCTTTTATTTTTAGGGCTTTACTATAGCACACCAAGCTCTTTTATTCAATAATACATTTATTCTCTCATTATAGAAATGTGCAGTTTCCCATCTATGAATTGTTTGGTTCTGTTACATGAGAGTACTGGGTAATACTTTTATTGTGTTTAAATTTACCCCATAATTATTGGCATATCACAATAAAAAACTGTTAGTTTTTATCAATGTAACGTTCAGTTTGTAATTAGACTGACATCCATGGAAGAAAATGCCCTTTCTGCTTTATTTGCTTCTTTTTTGTGTGTTTTGTAAACAATTGCCTAGAACTCTGGGGAAATGAATCATATTAGAAAGTTACTTTCCAAGGATATGAAGCTTCACTATGAAACTTTTATTTTAATATATTTCTTTCTTTTCTTTTTGKTTCTGGGGATTAAACTTGGGGCCTTATGCGCTCTACCACCTTCTGTCTCATAAAATATTTCTTAATGTAAAACCTTAATGTAAACTTTAGAGATCCTTCACTTTTTTTAGAAATATTACTCAATCAACATTTGAGTTCATCTGTATAAAGGCTCACATTACCACCTAAATTTCTTTCTAGTTTAAATTTTCTATATAYGTGAAGCTGAAAATTTTAAAGACTACATTTCTCAGATTCCCAGTAGCTTGGTTTTTATAAATCTACYCTCTACACCATCTGCCTTATATCTGAGGGTTCTTACATCTACGGATTGTCATTATTCATTAAATAAAGTATAATAACCATTTACATAGCACTTAAATTGTATTAGGTATTATAAGTAATCTAGGGATGACAAAGTGTATGGGAGGATGTGTATAAGTTATAAGAAAATAGTTAAGTGTCACTTAAGAAATGTATCATTAGATGATTCCATYGCTGTGTGATCACAGATTGTACTTACACACCTAGCCTATACAACGTACATATGTCCGACCTAAAGCTATGATGAACAAAATATAAAATCAAATCAAGCACAAAGAAAATAATGTAAGCAAGAGATGTGATAAACACGAGATGTCTAAGACTGCTGCCAATAAACACAGCCTACTGCCTTATAGTAAATTTTCTCTTTATAAGTAGGAATACACTCTAAAACAACAATAAAACTTATAGTAAATATAAAAACCAGTAACTTAGTCATTGGTCACCAAACATTATACATTGTAAGTAATTGTATGTGCCCTAGTTTTATGTATGGGGCAGCATGGATGGTTTGTTTATACCAGCACCACCATAAACATGTACAATGTAGTACGATAATTCCACCAATCAATAGGAATTTTTCAGATCCATTATAATCCTATGGACCATCACCATATATGTGATCTGTTTTTGATGGAGATGTCATTACTCAGGGCATGACTATACTAGATAAAGGGACTTGAGTATCCATGGATTTTGGAATGTACTGTACAGGGATCCTAGAACCAAACCCTAGTAGACACCAAGGGACGACTGAACTTGTTTGGTCAAAATAAGTCCTATGAAATGGAARCTATGTAGCTCTTCTGATCACCAGGGTGGCGGAGGCATTCAGCTATTCTACATAAATCATGATGGAAGTTSTTGTGTTTCTTCCCTAGCTTTGTGGGTACTGGACAGCTGACAGGGGCAGGAGGTATTTTCTAAGAATAGTGCTATATTGTGTTTCTATCTCCTGACCAAGAAAATCTTGGTTTGCTGTCTTTCCCAGAAATTTTACAAACCATGTAAGAAACCCCTTACTAGTTTAAATAGCAAGTAGATTGTTTTCTATAATCAGAACCCTGACCATATGGCTAATGATTAACAGGCATTCTCACCACTGATCTTGGTCACTCTTTTAGATATTTCTTTCTTTTCTGTCATTTTCTCTAGCTATTTGTCTTACAAGGAAAAAGGCTGAGATTTGTGATACTATCATCAGATAATACTCTTATTTTCACGAATTGAATTTGCATATTATAACCATTGGCTCTTAGTTGTTCTTTTTTTTAAAAAACAGTAGTTTTATTTATTTATTTTAAGGTGTCAATAGACCTTTCCTTTTATTTATTTGTATGCGGTGCCGAGATTTGAACCCAGCGCCTCACACATGCTAGGTAAGCGCTCTACCACTGAGACACAACCCCAGCCCTGTTTTTCTTTTATACTAMCTTCTTCAGTCTAAATTCTGATTTAGTATACTTTTTAAAGGATGTATATTCCAATATTAATTCTTGGTTAAAATTTATRTAACAGAGAAAGAATAGGTATGTAGCAAAGAGATGACTGGGCATTTTATTCCTTCTAATTAAAATCATAATCTCAATAAATACCAAGCCAAAGAGAGAAGGGCTAAAACAAAACAAAACAAAATGTGGTGGTGATGGGGGAGGACTGTTTTCTAGGTATATAAACAAGAGGAGTGAAGAAATAACACAATGCAAGAGAAGCTTGGTTGGGCACAGTGGTGCATGTCTGTAATCCCACTAACTCAGAAGGACTGAGGCAGGATGTGGGAAGCYGTTCTCACACGTGATCGAGTACCTCCCTGACTGGGTGTGAGGMGTTCCGGCCAGCTGTGTCAGAACTTATCCTCACCCTTTCTAGGTGCAAGAGCCCTTCCGTGTAGGGGTGTGACTGACYATTGACCCTGAGACCAATCATTGATCCTGACCTTGGAATGCTGTCCCCCTTGACCTTCATTGGATGGAATTTTCCACTGAATTTCTTATTCCCCAATAAAAGCCCACTCTCTGGCGTGCTCTTCCTCTCTCCTGCTGATCTCTTGTGTAAACCTTGCTACCACACCAGGTGGCTCGAGGCAGGAGACAGGAAGGGCTGTCTCTGAGCTGGGCAAGAAAAAGGTAAATTGAGTTTGTGTCTTTACTTTGATCTCACTAGTTAACTTGTATGTTTAGGACCTCTAGTATGAAGCTAGCGTGCTGGTCGCTTGGCAGCAGGAGGATTGCAAATTCAAGGCCAGCCTGGTTCTATAATCAGAACTCGGACCATATGGCTAATGATTAACAGGCAAGACCCTGTGTCAAAATAAAAAAATAAAAGGGCTTAGGATGTAGAGCACCTCTGGGTTCAGGTTCAACCCCCAGTATTGTGGGCTGGGAGTGGTGGTGGTGGTCCTGACTTGTGYTGGCAGTAAGAAGAAATGAAGGAGAAAAACTCCAAGTACAGTTTGATCAGGTAGTGACAGGTTTGAATCCTAAAAAATAAAGCTGGGTCAACGAAAATTCCAGGCTCCCTGGTATGTCTGAGGAACCAGTTTCTAGCAGGGGAAAAGTACACAGAAAAGGAGACTAGGAGTAGCAAAGTATAAAGAAGCAATATTAAATTCCTTCCTATTTTGAGAAAGGAGAAGGGAATAGATAGTGTGCACAAGACAAAGAYGACTTGGGGATATAGATCAGAGGTAGAGCATGCCTAGTATGGGTTCAATCCCAGCACTGAGAGGGTGGGGGAGGAAAAATATGCTCGAAAGATGTATGCTTTGGAAACATCACCAATGCCACAATTTCACATCAGCTACAATATGTGGATAGAGGGTAATTTTTACAAATGTATAAGATTTATGAGCAGCTCAGGTTTTGCATATTGGGCTTTCATAACTTAAAGAAAAAATGTGGGTGCTTAAAAATCATTGGAAACCACTCATCTAAGCACACTGCTCCTATTTAGTGCAGGAACACAGCTTATTGGTTACTTATGGTAGATATGCATGTTTAAAGTTGTGATGTAGGTTATACACTGTTTTATCTATTTGACAACTCTTTATGATTTTCCTTTGAAACTATGGAATCTGAAACAAGGAATAGTGGTGAAAAGTACAGACTGCAGAGTGTCAGGGTTTGAATCCCATAAGCTCATGAGCAACTCAAATCACCCAAGGAAAACTACTGYACCTGCAAAATGGAGTAATAATATTTCTCTACATCAAAGAGTTGTTACTGAGTTAACGCATGCAAAGTGCCTAGAGGACCAGGAATGTGATAATCGTTACTAAATATTGYCTGCTAGTAATATCAGATTTGCATGTTTGATTCATTGTTTTCTCTCCCCTTCTTTTTAATTGGTGCATTATAGCTGTACAGAATGTAACTTGTGTCTAACTACTACTTATGATGTGGGATTTGTTGTTATATATTCATGTATGCACACAATGTAATCTGGCCAATATCGTTCCCTAGTTATTTCCCCTTTCTGCATATATAATTCCACCAGTAAGGTCTTCATACTTCAGTTTTTACTGCCCAAGTCATTTTGGTATTTTTATTCTCAAAGAAAATTCTGGTTGAACAAAGAAGAATTTTTCTCATTGTAGGAATTTTACCTTCCAAGTTTTTGCCCTTCTCCGCTAAAAGCCTTGAATCTCAATCTAGGTTTTATGTATTCTTGATCCTGATGATCTTCCATATCCAAATTCACTTGGCCACCATGAACCAGTCGCTGAAGCTCCAAAGGAATCTCTCTTTAAAAACAAAAAACAACAACAACAACAACAAAAAAAAGGAGTGGGGAGGAAGCTTTTAGTTAAGTTTTTCAAAACTTAACCTACATTGTTGAGATTACTGTTATCGATTATAAGCTACACTAAAAACCAACAGTTTTTAACTTATAAAAATTTCCACGATTAGTCCAAGTTGCTCTTTCTTATCTCACAGTTTCTTAGCTATTCTCAGCAARGCAATGTTTTGGCTATCACTGTGACAACCAAATTTATAAAATTGTAAGATAGCAGTTGATAGCTAAATTAGCATTAGAAAATTCCTATGAGGACAAATAGTTAATTTAAGTGTCTACTTCTAAGCTCCCTGAAGGAAGTTCTGAAAACTAACACAGGTGTTCCTGAATCACTAGGTGACTGGTGAGCACAGCTGTCATTCAGCATCAGGCRCAGGAGATGTGAGCTACAGGCAAAGGGGGCACTTGTCTTACACAACAAAGACTTGTCTTGGGTTCCACAGATTTACCATGTGCCTGGACAGAGATTCACATGGATGACAACACTGTATTATGTCTCAGCCCCAAATCTACTTCTGTCCTACAAATAAAATCCACTTGTTGAGGTGTTTCATTAATATATTTTGACATTTCCAGGCATATCTACCATACAAACCAAGGGAAGATTGCATTTTGTTTTGTCTAGAACTTGATCAAGTCCTTGAATGCAATGTCACTTGTAGTAATTAAGCTGACGACTTCACATACCTCATTATTCTGTTTATACTTGTCATATTTAGAGAAGTGCTAAACTGCACAGAGGTATACACTAACTACTATAAATGTCTGTAATTTATGTCTAACTACTCTTATGGTGTGCTCATATTTGGACATTTACAAACTGAAATACAAATTGTGATAAACTCTTTAATTTCTTCAATATATTTTAGATAATATATCCATTTTTAAAATAATGTGTACAAGCAGAATATAAGTATTCTGTAAGTTCTTTTAAGATAATGAAGACAGTATTAAAAATACTATAAAAAAGAGATAACGGGTTTTTATAGTTAAGAACTACTAGCTGATATTCATTTTCTTCAAAGAGACTTTTCTAAAATTTTTCTTGAAATTAATATGTTTTTTTACCATCTTGAAATTAGTATCAATTTCAGCAGTAATACTAGTTTTCACTTAGCAGCTGGACATTTCCCCCACCCAGCTCTTCCCAGTGACTGTAAGTTTTTGAGTCCATAGAATTGACTTGAGTATTTGCTACCATCATATACTGCTACCCACCTTCTCAGTGAGTTCAGTATACTGTTTATTGCATATCTTGCCTTTGTTTGGTATCTGTGCAKAATTTATTTCAAAACTTATGTAATTCATCTTCTCAAATGCCTTTCCGTCTTGGTCACTTCAACTCCAAAGAATTGAGCCACTTCAGCCACTCTTCCTGAACATGTTTCATCACCTGGAAAGGCCCCATCTACAATTTTCTACAGAGTATAATCTACTCTGGTCCCTTACTGCTACTTAAATCTCCTAACTGATAGTCAACCTTACGCATTTAGTTGTAGTTCTACCCTAAGAATAATGATAATAATCCCGTTATCAGCTAGTGAAATCACAATGCAGAAGAGCTTTTATTATGGTAAAATCAATTGATTTCCCATCCTTTAGCAAGAAAGGCCAGTGAGTTACAATGTTCTTTGGATGGGTCAGAGCACTGTATATATATATATGGTTTATTTCCACAAATTATAACTTCAAACTAACCTTTTGAAATCTTCTGCCAGTAGTAATGCCACTTTAAAAGCTTTCTAATATAAGATGCTGAATTTCAGGCATACATGCAAAGAGTCACCCTGTCAACAGTAAGCAGGACAGTGGCTTAGTAGATGGGCAGCTACGTGCTCATTAATAYAATGACTTATTACATTAAGATGTTTGTTCTTGGAGTTGAATCCACAGTTTCATCAGATTTAAAATGGGGCTAATATCCAATGCCCCKTCCCCACAAAGAAAAAGAATAAGCATTTCCCCAGTAGTCAGTTATCAAATATATTCCAGTAGCTCATTCTTAAAAACTAGTAATGCACTACTAAATGGTAGTCTGTTTAAAAATAAAAAAGTCCCATTCTAACTAACAAATAGAATACAAATAAAATATCTTACCCTCTCTTAACAGATTCCAAAAATTGAGCATTTGTTGGATCATTGTAAGGTCTCAATTCTCCATCATCTAAACTGAAGCCATTGCTCCACAGTTTAAGCAAAATTTGAACCTTTTGGACACAGAAATAAAAAGTTAAAAAACCCATCTCCATAGTTTTAAGTTTCAAATGTGATCTCTCAAAACATATTACACCATTTATTTATTTAAATAGAGAGCCATTTGCACTATTCTTTATTCATWGTTAAAAGACATGAAACACTGTGTGTTTGCTTAGCAGATTTATTTTTAGCTTATCAAATTGACAAAGGTTGCAAATACTAAAGGTCCTGCAGGTGGATCCTAGACTTGAAGTATAATTACTCATGTGACACTGAGAAAACAAAAGCAACAAGACAGCATCCAGCTGCCATCCTGCTACTCCTACACTTCTCTTCCACCTTACCCATACTCTTCTGTATTCCAGAGCTTAAATATTCAAGCCAAGAGGCAAGACTGAACTTCTAGTGACACCCCAAGGAACTATTAATGTTTAAAATAAAATTCTAACTCCAAAATTTCCAAAGGCAACAGAAACAATGAATGACTTTAGGTGTCCTATGTTTACAATCCAGCTCATTGTATTACTATTACAGAATACAATTTAAAATAATTATTATACATGTAAGTTAATTCTGACAGTGAATTACACATGCTTTCAACTAGTTATGAATCTCTATGTCCAGGCATGAATGAGATTTTAAAAAACCTTAAAATTGAGACTGAAAACCACATATTGGTCCTTTTATTAAATGTTAATTAAAAAACAACAAAAGATATTAAGTTTAAATCTTAAAATAAATAGTACTGAAGGCAAACGCCTATACATTTTCATTGTGACTATTGTACCTACATCTTGCAGCTGATTTTCTCCATAGACATATTCAGACCGCTTACAAAAGGAATTACCCAATCTGTATCCTCCACCTGTAAATGACTAAAATACACAGAAAGTGAATTAAAAATTTACCAAGACATATAAAGCTAAGTGTTATTATAACATTTGATATTTTAAAACTAGATAAATTATAATTTACCAAATTGGTTCATACTTCTTAGGAAAATTTTATAGTAGTATAAAATTCTTCTATTATAGAAAAGTGTACTTAAGTAAGAAATTAAGGTCTGTCTCAAAAACATTAGTGTCTAAAACTAAGATATGCATTTATACACTGAAATGTATTTTCAAGTATAAACATGTGAAAACATTTTATGATGTCTTATAAGAGCTTTACAGAACAAAGAAAGGATTTTATAAATAAGTATACACTACCTTGAAAAAAGGCTCCATACTTTATAAGTTTACGTAAGTATAAGAAGTTAGCTATGATTGTATTTTTTGTAGTACTTACCACAAGGTCTTCTATTCCTGAGGTAGAAATAAGTTATGAAGTAAAATAGCATTTCTTTTAATCACCATTTATATCTTGAATGAGTCTTTAATGATTACATTGCTTTTTTTCTATAAACTAAATCATATCAATTCCATATTTTTCTTCCAGAATTAGAGAACTGATATAAACTAAAATAACCTTAAGGCCTGACTGAAAGAGAATTTCAAGTGGTTGACAAACAATGAAGACTAACATTTAGGTTTCATTTAGAATAGTGGTTTTCAACAATGAATACCAAAATTATCAGAAAAGCCTTTTCAAAACACATGTCTAGGTACAACTCAAATCTATTGAGCCTCAAAGTCATATGGTAGTTTAGAAAAACTCCCCAGATAATTTTGATGGGAGGAATTATAGACTAAGAAATGCTGATTATAAAAATATATGCACAAAGACACTTGAAGTCTTCGAAATACCAATACTGTATCAGTTGATATAGTTATAAAAGCTGTTTAAAGCAATGCAATGGAAGGAAGAGAGCCCTTTTCAACAAACAATGCTAATGCAAGTGGACATCCTTATGGGGGAAAACGTATGTATGTATGTATGTATGTATGTATATATATTTAACCAGGGATTGAACCCAGGGGTACTTAACCATTGAGCCACATCCCCAATCATTTCTATTTTATATCTGAAGACAGGGTCTCTCTAAGTTGCTTTGGGCCTCACTAAGTTGCTAAGCTGACTCTGAACTTGGGATCCTCCTGTGTCAGCCTTCCAAGTCACTGGGATTAYAGGCGTGTGCCACCTCGCCCATCTAGAAAACTGTATTTTGATATAAATCTCATGCCTTGTAAAAATTAATTTAAAATGGGCAATAGGTTTAGATATAAAATGTGAAACTATAGAACTTTTCTAGATAATAGGAAAAAATCTTTATACCTAAAGGTAGATGAAAATTAGACATCAAAACCATGATCCATAATAGAAAAAGATAAATTGGATTTTAAAATTTAAAACTTTTGCTTTGCAAAATAACCCATTAAGAGGAAGAAAAYACAAATTCCAGTGTCGGGGAAAAAGTATTTGCAAACCATATGTGTGCCCAAGAATCCATATTGATTAAAATATATAAAGACTTCTCAAAACTGAACAGTAACAAAACAATTCAGTTAGAAAATGGGTGTAACAAGGCAAGTTGAAGTGTGCCTGTAGTCCCAGCTACTCAGAAAACAGAATTGCTGGAATCCAAAAGTTTGAGACTAGCCTGGCAATGTAGCAAGAGCCTGTCTTAAAATACAAAAAACAACAAAAGAAAATAGGCAAAAGYCATAAAGAGACATTTCACTGAGAAAGATAACAAAGACAATGGCAAATAAGCACATGAAAAAGAAAATGCAAATTAAACTAGAAACAACTAAAATGTGCCTCAATAGATGAATACTTAAAAAGTGGTATATCCATACCACAGAATGCTACTCAGGAATAAAAGGGGACAAAGTACTGAAATATACAATAATTCTGATGGAACTCAAGGGGATTATGCTGAGTGAAAAAGGATGCACCCCAAAAGTCATATATTATTCAATTTGTATCACATTCTGAATATTATAAAATTTTGGAGATGGTAAATAGATTAGCAGTGGTCAGAGATTAGGGATGATAGGAGAGAAGGTGGTGGGTATAATTATTAAAAGGAACACCACGAAGAACTTTTATTGAATGTGTTTGTGATTGCACAAATCTATACAAGTGATAAAATGATATGGAACCACAGCAAATTCCTGGCTTTGATCTTACACTGTAATCACGCAAAATGGTATCATTGGCGAAAACTAGATGAAAGGTACATGCATAGGACCTTTCTTGTTGCAAATTCCTTTGAACCTATTTCCAAATTAAAAGGTAAAAAAATCATGTAGAAATTTAAGAAACTGCCTCAATTTTCAGTCATTATTAGATTATAATCTCATAAAATGAAATATTTAAAACAAACGGTTATAAAAACAATGCTTGCAAATAATATTAATGAAATCAGACACAGAAATAATACTAACCTTGGATTTGTCCTCACTTGAAGATCGTGTGGCTTCATTCAGAGGKACGGCCCCATGTTCCCGTGCCTCTTTGAAAAGTTCATTCACAATTTTCCCAGTTGATGGTCGAACAATATGTAAACCATCATGTTCACCCGAATAAAACCTTTAAGTGGTATAGTTCATGAATAAAAATGTAGAACAGACATAAGCTACTTTACAAGAAGCTACATATTTAAACCAGGCATTCTTGACTCCTGTGAAGTATTTAATTTTTAAAACGAGATTAAGGAAAAGATCAAATAGGAGACAGTTCCTATACTTTCTTTTATTTTGTTAATTTGTTATTTTTAGATATACATAACAGCAGGGAGTAATTCTGACATATTATGCAAACATGGAGTGCAACCCATTCCAATTAGGATCCCCTTCCTGTGGTTGTACACTATGTGGAGTTACACTGGTTGTGAATTCATATGTGAGCATAGGAAAGTTATGTCCAATTCATTCTACTGTCTTTCCTATTCCCATCCTTCTTCCCTTCCCTTCATTTTCCTTTGTCTAATCCAATGAACTTCTACACTTCACCTCCCCACCCTCCCTTGTTAAGGATTAGCAGCCACAAATCAGAGAGAACATTGGGTCTTTGGTTTTTTGGGACTGGCTTATTTCATTACTTTCTCACTGAGTTTGCAGAGATTCTGATAGCAAGTTCCCCATGTAGCATAGCAAATGATATATTTGCTTCCTCCCTCTGCTCTGTGTGCCTGCTAATCAAATGCACCTCTTTTCAAATCAGGCTCTTTTGATGTAGTGAGGAAAAGCATTATCTACAATCAGAAGYTAGTCTTCCCCACCAAGGAATCCACACTTGGTAGCAACCTAGTCAGTGAAGAGATATCTAGATTTATAAAATGTAAACATCTAATTCTATACAAAAAGGATTTATTCCTCAGAAATTTTTAGATTGAAAAAAGACCTACTCCATTATGATTTCCTGTGTTAAAAAAATAATTTGGATCATGTGCAGTTTTTTCCAGTGTATTTTCTATACACTAACTAATTTCAGTGTATTTTCTATGCAGCACTTATCCCCATCCAACTTTATAAATGCTCCTGGGGAAACACAAAAATTTCCTTTACCCAAGATTACTTCCAAGATTTTTTCAATCAAGGGTATCATTAAGTATAACCAAAGTATCCCCATCAAGACTTATAGTATAAGATGCCAATCAAAGTTCACATATTTAATTACTCATACCTTCCATTCCAGTTCCAAATTCACACTGAACTGACTCACAAAACAATACTATCATGGGGTAGGAGGAGATTATTCCAGCACTGGAGACTAGGAATAGAGGACACCTTCAAGATTTTTTTTTTTTTTTTTTCAGAATTAGCAAACACAAAACTGAACAGGATAGAGGGAACAGCTGATCAACTCTCAGTTCACTGTTAAGTCAAAGGAAAAAAATCCCACTAGAAACAAGTAGATACTAGCAGAACCCCATTAACTGCTGTGGGAGAGGCAGACTTTCATCCCAACAGTGCTAGGGAGAAGTACTAAGTTTACCCGGAGCAAGAGCCTATGGAAGCCTTCCTCTGTCAAGTGTCAATTCACACAGAAATACTCACAGGAGTAGTTCTAAGAACAAAAGAATCACAACTTCATGAACCTGGCACTTTTTAACAAACTAAAATTAATATGAATCGTGTAAGAGTATACTCTCCTTTGCTAGTCTCTTTAATTCTCAATAATTACCCAAATACTTAAATTATATCACTAGTGCCCATAGTTCCTATGCAACTCATTTTTTGGCTTTCCAGGATGTCCATCATATGGCTATATCCATGACTGGTTTCATAATTTCTTGGGTCCAGTACAAAATAAAAATATAGGTCCCTTATTAAAAAATTATTAAGGCTCTCAAAACCATAAAGCATTAAATGAAGCACAGGGCTCTAAATGTGGGGCCCTGTGTGAGAGAGAGCACAGCTCATACACTCATGAAGAACTTATCCAACATTTTCTTTTTAATATTCAACCTTATTTTTGACTCATATAAATGTTGGTTCCTATCTCTCCTGTTATTCTGATTATATTCTCCTCTATGCCTGGAATTTTGTTCCTTGTCTTCTTTACTTGCCAAGACTCTAATAATCTTTATTATTTATTTACTTTAGGTAGTGGAGATTGAACTCAGGGACATTCAACCACTGAGCCACATCCCCAGGCCTATTTTGTATTTAGAGGCAGGGTCTCGCTGAGTTGCTTAGTGCCTTGCTTTTGCTGAGGCTGGCTTTGAACTCATGATCCAGCTGCTTCATCCTCCCCAATTTGCTGGGATTATAGGAATACACCACCAAACCTAGCTAGAGTCTAATAATCTTTTAAGGTACAATGGTGTACTAGGCACTTTATACAATTTATCTCATTTAATTCTGAAAACAATACCAGAATACAACTTTGTAGAGGACAGTTAAATTTTATGTGTGATATGTAGATTTTTGTGGGTGAATATGTTAAGGTAGGTGTTGGACTGTATTTTGAAGGTTTTTCTGTGGATTATGTACCTTATCTTATAAACTAAAAACAAAAATATTATGTCTAAAATTTCAGACAATGAAAATCTATTAGTTTAAAATGACAAGGAACATATAACCGTCTTGATTTCTAACAGTGTTCAAGGAGGTAGACACAGAAACARTATTTTCTATACTAAATAAACAATAGAAATACAATGACACTGGGCAAATGGTGATACTGAACGTGAAAGCTTATATTTCAGTGTTAGAAAAATATCACTTAGAAAAAAGATTGCCAATAATTTGCTATACACTGTATCTTAGGTGAGTAAAAATAGCGTAATAAGTCTCACCTTTTAAGGGAGTTTATCCTTTTAATACATAAAAATTCTAGAGATAAAATCTGAGGTACAAAATCCTTAAAAACCGCATTATTGGCTGGAGGTGTAGCTCAGTGGCAGAATGCATGCTTACCATAAGGGTTTAATCCCTAGCACCAAAACCAAACCAGAACAAAATACATTATCTAACTATTAACAACAACATTATGTCAGCAAAAAAAAAAAAAAAGTAAAACTACTGATATCTTAAGGATTGAAATATCTTAAGGATTATACAAGGATAGCAAGAAAATTAGCAATACTTTTATCTTTTATTATAAAAACTCAAATTTTGGATTTGCTACCCCAAGAGTAAATTAAGTCATTCAAAATATATTCAAACTGGGGAAGCAAAAACCAAATATTTAATAATTAAAACTTAGGCATACAAAAATATATTCAGTACTTTTAAAACTTGGGAGAATGCATAAATTAAGGAAGCAATAAAAAATTATGTTGTTTATACGTATATACGTATATGTAACAAATAAGAATTAAATGATAGGATAGGATATTCAAACCATGCCAAGATACCAACTTGCTGATTACAAAAGAAAAACTGTACCTTACAATGGAGTGATGTGGTGGTCAGCACCTTAAGCAAGTGAACATATTCACCAATAGTGGAAAAACTTGAAATTATATGGTTCCTGATGTAATATAATAAAAAGCAAACAGTATCACTTATCTAGTAGTCTTGACAAAAATGTTTTAACAAGAATCTAATCATGAGAAAACAATGATCTAGAAGGTGGAACATTTTATAAAACATTTGGTCTAGACTCCTAAAAAAGACAACGTAATAAAGTTTAGATTATGTAGGCAAGCTAAAAACAAACAATAAAAAGGAAGGGAGAATGGTCAGGCTTCAAAGATTCAAAATAGGAATAATCAAAATCAGTATATGGTTCTTGGCTGGACCCTAATCACAAGAAAAGGTTGTAAGAAGTATAAGAGTAAAGACAATATCTCATTGCATCACTGTTAATATTTTAAGGTATAATATGTTAGTAAGGTTACAAAGATGTGTGTACTTAGAGGATGCATGCTGAAGAACATAGCGGTAAAGTGCCATGATGCCTACAATTTCCTTTRAAATAGTTGAGTAAAATAAATGAGAGTGCGTGTGCACCACTAYAATGTTTTAACACAGTAATGATTGGTGAATACATATGAATTATATACAGCATTCACTCATTGAACTAATCTTTAGATTTTTTGTGGGTTTCAAATTCTTAATATAAAAAGTTGGTAGAGAAGTTACCAATATTGTTTTTATTTTTACTCAGGTCCAGAAAAACATGTCATTTTTATCTCCCCTACAAAAAGAACGTATAGGGACAAATAAAAAAAAGTGTTTTCCAGGTAACTTTTTAACTTTTGATAAAATTACAGACTTTCTGAGAATAAGACATAATAACAAAACTCAAGTTTCTCCACAGGGATAAGATTTCTAGTACTGACAAGGTGTTAATGAAAATATTCATGGCAATAAAGTATAGTTGATTCTTATCTCTTAAATCTCCACAGCTGGTTCTCTTCATAGTGCAGGGATTTTTGGCAATAGCAAATACTATCCAGGAGGTAGTTTATTAGACAAATCATGATACTACAGAAGTAGAGTCAGAAGTTACAGAGTCTTAAACGGACAACAAAAAGCCAGACAGCTTCACCGATGGGCTTTAAGAAACAAATGAACCCTTAAAAACTGATGAAATCACACATTATTTTTGCTTTGGAAGGAAAGGGCCCACAGGTTTCATTGGATCCTCAATGAGTCCTATGACTCAAAAAAAAAAAAAAAAAAAAAAAGAAAGAAAGAAAATTTAAGGAACCATTGTGCCTAAGAAAAACAGTATTCAAGACATTATTTCATATGATGCCTATTTTATCAGGTATTTAAGGTAATTTTCTTTTAGCATTTTGACTATAAAAATTTTAGGAATAGTAATAATATTAATTTTAAGAAATCATAGTTTAAAAAAAACCCCAAGACCATTTAAAATAATTTGGGATTACTAAGTTTAAAAGGGCTATAGTTTTTTAAAACAAAGCTTACCGTTGAGGTGGTGTTCGTGGGCTCTTAAAGATGGTAGGTTTAGGTCTATCAGACTTGGAAGATTTGCATTTCACTTCATCTTCATACAGTTCTGCCAAGGCCAACTGCACAATAACAGACTTGTTATAAAGCATGACACTGGAAATAAACTCTCCTATATTACTTATGAACAGAAATATTAACTTGAAATTGAGTGGGAAAGACTTCTAACGAAAAAATGAAGACGGTTGCTTCAAAAGATAAACCCTTCCAAAATATACTCATTGTGTATTTCATAAAATTATTCAAAATTCTATTTATAAATGCAAAATGAAGTCACAGTAGTTGCTTATTTTCAATTACCAAGTTTCAAAATCCATATTAGGTAAGAATTCACTTAAAAATTCATATCTACATAATTCTCCAATTCTTTTAATATATATATATTTGAGGCAAAGACTTATTTAGGAAAGTAAGGCATACATATTTAAGGGAGAAAGTGAGCTATCTGGGGAGTGAGAAGCCTTAAGAATTCTTGAAAATGTTTCACATGAATATGGGCTTTTTTATCAGACCTCCTAAAATAAATTGAGGTATTTTCAAATTTCAAGCACATAAAATTTTTTCAAAAATACTGTTTAAAAGTCTACCAGACATCAAATTTCATCAAATTTAGCAAAATGAGTTTCTGAAAATGAAATAAGAAAATGAATTATGTGTGTTTGTGTATGTATATGGTTTATGTACCAGTTAGATAGCAATCTTACCAAATTATACATTATAGATATATATCTGGATATCTTCAAAATGAAATAAACAAACCATATTTGTTCTAGAAAAGGAATTCAAAAACAGTATTTCCAATATTTCAGTATTTTTTTTCACTTTTGACATCTGGACAATAACTCAAAATTTTTCCTTAATGTCCTTTGTGGCTAGGCTATTCAATTACAACTAGCATAACCATAGTCCTTAGGATTTTTTGGTCAAAAACAAACAAGACTGATAAAGTGCTCCTTTTGGAAGCACAGGAAATATGAAAAMCATTTCCATGAATTAAATTCTTTCCTCAGTACAAAAAGAAGAGCCAAGGATTAGGGAAGAGTCGACCTGTTGAAGATGGAAGTAGTAGACTTATAAATTATACATAAAAGAAGACAAAAATGAAAGGCTCTACTTTTTCTAATTTTTTTTAATCCCTACCCTACCCCCTCACAAGTACAACTATTTTCATACTTCTAACATGGAATTTTAGATTTCTAATTCAAATTATAAATTGCTTTATAATCTTAAAGAACTGAAGTCAAATCTTAATTTAGGTGCTTACTGTGTAATTGTGGACAAATTACCTAAGCTCTTTTAGCCTTAGTTCTCAAATCTTTAAATGTCTATAAAAAATTCATAAGGTAYGTAAAGCACAAAGCAAGTTGGTTCCATTCCTAAAAGATTATTTTAAAAATGTTTTGCATTGAYTGTATCAATGATTAGTTTTTCCCAAGATTTCTTCCAGTAGTGTTACCTATGTATCTGCTTATTGTCTTTTATTATCCTACCCTTGAAAAAACAAAGAGGTAGGAAATGGGAAAAACCTATGAACAATGATGTGAATGTAAAGTTTTCAGCAATTTTACCTCCCTAAAATCTCTTCATTCAGAATTATGTTCTTTGGTAGATTTCCTAYGTAGCTGATTATATTATTTCAGCTCTAAGAATTACTTTTATATTATTCCTATTCCCCCTGATGCCAAATGTTATCTGTATTTGGGCCTTCTCAAACAACCTATGTGAAAGCTTTTCTAATTTTCTTAACTAAATCTAATTTTCTTTTCTAAATCCTCATAGTATATCATTTTGTCATTATAGGTTAAGTATCTCTTAACTGAAAGGCTTGTAATAGAATGCTTTAGGTTTCAAAGTTCTATATTTTGGAATAATTGCACAGAATCTACTGGTTGAGCATCCCTAGTCCAAAATTCTAAAACCTGAAATGCTCCAAAATCCAAAATTCATGTGTTAAAACCATTAAGGATTTTGGAGCATTTTGGATTTTCTGATTAGAAATGCTCAATCTGTAATTGTGTACTTTTGCTCTTACATTTTAAGTTTCACAAGCTATTTCTAACATAGTACTTATTTGGCASTTAACATCCACATTGAGTTTTGAAAGACTAACACATGAATCAGAGATACAGATTTATATATTTTTTTAATTAAGATTTTGCTATATTTCTTTTCCTTGTTTTCTGCTTTAAGAAGATTTGAATAAATGCTGCCAATAAGATAATATTTTCCTTCTGAAAAATAAATGAATAAATAAAATAATGCCTTTGCCTTCATAGAATGTGAAACATATTAACAAAATAAGAATACTGGGAAAATGATAACCACAGTAAGGAGTCTACCTGGCTGAAAGGTTTAGTTACTTACGACATATCATTAACTTAGAGGTAAATAAATGATATTTAGAGGAAGTTGATACCATGTTGTATCATATAACATAAATTCATTAGTAAATATTTTAAAAGTGTAATTTATATATTTGATATAGCAGATGACACCACAAAAACAAAATATTATTTTATATTGATCAAAATTAATTGAAGTACTGTCAATATCAACATACTAACAATAAAATCTCAAAATTTAAGAAAAGGTTTCTATAATACAGAGAGTCATGCTGGCACTCCAAACGTTTTAGACTTTGGACCATTTTGGGGTTTAGATTTTTAGGTTAGGGATACTCAACTGGTAAAATCTATGCATTTCAAAATCTGAAAAAAATCCCAAATCTGAAAAATTTCTGCTCCCAAGATTTTAGGCTATGGGAATACTTAACCTGTACTGATAATCTTTCCTTTAGAATTTGATATGTGAAGAACTTTAAAAACTGAAGCAAAACAAATTAAAAAATGGAAAAACAAAACTGAAGCAAAGTAACTAAAGACAATCAAGTATGCAGCAAGAGGTTAGCAATACTTATACTCTCAGCCTTATGGTGAAAACTGCTACAGAATGTAATAAGGGTTTATTATCCAGAATAGCTACACCAATATCACTTGGGAATTTGTGAGAAATACATATACTCTAGTCTCACTCTATTTCTAATGAATTAAAGCTGGGGCAAGGCCCAACCTGCTTTAACAAGTCTTCCTGGTGATACAAACTAAAGTTGAGAACCAATATTACAGAATAATGATATATAACATGATTAGGATACTGGCGACAATTTTAACACAGTATTAGACATTCTTAATCTTTCCTCACTTACAGTATTATCAAGACCATCCAATTAATTCAAATCCAATTCCTTAATATTGGTTATCCCTAATCCACCCTCTACCCCAAATTCCAACCTCAGTATGGAAGCAAAGGATTAAGAACAGAAAATTTTTCCTTTGACATTATTCTGGAGGAAAACTGCAACAGAAACAAACAATATCTTAATGAAATGTAAAGCTAAACCCTGTGTGTGGATGAACTGAAGGGTCCCAAAACAAACAAAGATCTTGCAAACATTCAGAAATACTACTAAGCAGCAGAGATGTTTTTAGACTTACTCTTGTCACTAACAGTACTAGCCCAAACTTTCCCACAGAACATAATTATGAAGCCAGAATTAGACAGGCAGTCAGTGTAGATAGGTAAATCAAGTCAGGTTGGATCTAGGAGGCCAATTTTGAGTGAGTCTGGGAAGTTGGAGACTGTCCCCTGAGGGATCTTATCAAGAACTTGCCCCTGCTCCAACCTGTTGCCAAGGTAACCAGTCCCAGGAATTTCCCCTCCCTATATAGGGGAGCTATAAAGAGGGAAGTAAGAAGAATCTACTGAAAACTGCACTTAACTGGGTAGCCACTTAAACAGGTCTAGATTAAACAAGATAATCCATAAGTAATCAATGTCCATGAAACCAGTTGGGAAGAACATTAYCCAATTATTTTAACCTTTGTTAATATACTTTATTTCTTGATATAATCATCATTTACATTATTTTAAAATTTCTTACAAGTCTTTTTATATTCTAATTGGATTCTAAGGGAAACATTATCAATAAATACAGTATTTGATATACCAAATCACATTCATAAATTAATTACATTCCTACTGACCAACCTACCATAAAGCAGATAGGAGATGAAAAAAGAATCTTCCAATTTAGGGGGGGAATGAAGATATTCTCGAAATTAACATCTATCAGAACATCCCAAATCATTAATAATCCACTGGATTAAGTATGCAAGCAATCTGCCAAATAGCAAGTGCTCAATTAAATTAGAAAAGGGTCTGAGGTTATTTTAACTTTAATGGTACTAAACAGTGACTACATAGTAAAAGGGCTGAGCCCAAGGATAATATAGGGATTTGTGGAGTTCCTCCATAGGCATTACTTAATCCCCATACCCCCACCATCACTATCACACCTTCCATTTACAAATGATGACAATGAGGCTGACAGAAGTTAAGACATTTCTCCTAAATTCACACAACTGTGAAGTAGCACGACTAAAATGCAAACCAAAGTTGATCTAGCCACTAATTCATTTTCTCAACACCCCACACTGCCCTTAGTTCTATATTAGAAAAGATGAGGTAAATAGAAGCTGTCTGTTCCTTGCTTTTATTTACTACTGAAAAAACTACAGGCACTGGAACTATCATTGAGTTCATCTAACATTAAAATGATCTTTTCATTCTCCAAATTCTCTACCTTATGAACTACTTCTTTCAGTCCTCAATGATACATCATTAAATGTTATCCTATTTCTCCAAAAAAGTATGAAGGTTTCCAAAAGGTAGAAATGCCTTTTATACTTCTGTACTGTTTAAAAAGGGATATTCCTCAGACCAACTTGATTTAGTAGAATTTACTTATTAGTAAAATAAAGCCAAGCAAAACAACTTATGAAGGGGAGATTCCCAAAACCAAAGCAGGTTAGGAAAACTCCAAGCAACAATGTGATCCTATAACATTTATAGAAAAATGGAAGGGAGGCACAGAAAACTTAATTAGCTACTGCTTGGTCAATCAACCATTAACAGCTTAACTACTTAAGTGGGTACAGGGCCACATGTAACCAATCAAAGCTGAGTTATAGTTAAGTTCTGTATGTTTTGGTCTGTTGGGCCCAATCTAGATGCCCTCCTTAAATTGGCAGCCTCCTACAATTTCATTTAATAACTTTCCACAGTATTCCAGCACAGACTATGGGTTAGATGTCCTATTTATCTCTGCATTTCCCAAAGCTTAGCAGTAAGTTACATGGCAGGTGGTCAGTATGTTTGTTCAAAGAAGTAGAATCAAAATGTGGCTATAAATACAACGTTATGTCAACGGTTGTGGATTCAATAGCATTTATTTTTAATGATAGCTCCTTAGAATTATTTGTTGAGTTTTATCAATGATTTTATAAGAGGGCAGAAAAAAGACAAGCATTAGCCAAGTGGTGCTAGACTCTGATAAACAATAAGATTTGGTGCACTGGTATTTAGCCAACCAAGTCAGTATCCTATAACAATACAAAATTTTTATTTCCTTCCCCCATTTCTAAGTGCACTGTTTTAGAGACCACTCTTCACAATCACCTTATACACGTCTGTAGGATGAATTGCTTTAGTTCACCCTCCCCCCTTCCAAAAAAGGTACTTGATGGAAAGGAACCACTTTTACATTTAAGTCATAAAGTTAGAAAGGGCAACCAAGACAAGAAAAAGCCAGCACCCATTWTTACTTTCTAAGTGTCTGCGGATTTATTACCATCCATACTAATTCCTTCTCCCAAGTCTCAGGAAGGAAGCTCGCCCGTTGCCGCAAAATGCCACTGCAAACTAACAGCTGCTTCGTGCATTGTACACGGGGTAAAAGGGGGACGAGGTGCGCCCGGGAGAGACTTGGGCACCTGTTTCCAAATCCACCACGGTGCAATGCACTTCCCTGGAGTAACCCCCAAGCAGGAGTCTCAATTCCATCCCTAGAGAGAGTCGGGAAAGGGCTCAGCCGGTCTAAAGCGGCCTCTGACTCACGCCCGCTCGCGCTGTCACCGGCCCGGCCCCGCCCGCGGCAGCACCCTTGGCTTCAGCAACTCGCGCACCTGTAAGTCCCGCGCGCTCGGGGGCCCTGGCTTAGAAGACCTCCGCTCCTGCTCCTCCGGCTCTGGAACACCACCCTCCGCCATTTTCCGCCGGCTCCCGGCGCCCGCCGCGGACGCGCTTCCTGTGACTTCCGGGGTAGTTGCTTAGCAACTGCGAGAAGGGGCGGAGCCGCGCCGTGAACTCCGGGGGACSGGGCGGAACGCCACGGAGCGCGCTTGCTACGTAGTTCCCGAGCGCTTGCGTCCGGCCCGCACTTTCTCGCCTGTCAGTCTACTTTCCTTAATATTTTTCGGCTTCAGTCTGGAGTTCACGCTGCTAAACGCTTGAAGGCGCTGTAGACTGCCCTAAAGAGCAGCGATGACTTGCCGATTCCTTAATTCAGCAAGGAAAACGTCCTCTGGATGTTTGATCAGGTGAACATTCGACCTCACCTGCCTAGTGGTAGTCAAATTCTCTCCTCCCTGTCAAGGACTGAACAGCACATGGCCTTCACAGCGTGGATTGGCATTGGGAGCAAAGAGCACCCTGAAAATTTACAATCCAACTGGAGACTGTTAATCCTTCTTTATTCAACTGGGATTTATTTAAACATCTGTCATATCCCGAGTACTTTTATGCATTTGCGATATGAAAGCAAAAAGAAATAGTCCCAGTCATTGTGAATCTCACAATCTAATGGGCAAAAGAAAGATGTAAACAGACAATAACATGTAATTTTTGGTAGAGTTTTGAGRAAGTGTTATAGGAGGAACTTGGGGTGGGTTTGAAGGGGGAATATTCTGTTGGTGTCTACTGTGCGCACTATGCAAATGTTGGAGCTCAGAAAATATATCCGCCAAATATGCTGCTTTGGCGTGTTAATTATTTTTAGTCAAAGGCACAACAGCAGGTGCAAGAAGATCASTCTGACCTTCCTTTCTCTTTCTGAAAGGAAGAAACAATCCTCTTGTGAAAGATGCCTTCCCTGGAAAGAAGTCTTAACCACTAGAGACAAGGAGTCCAGGCCCAGAGAAGTCTGTACAAACAGACCATATAAAACTAACCCACACCTTCCTAGTTCCTTTTCCAAAACTTCCACTCTTTGTTCAGTCTAGTATATAAACCCAGATGCTTATTCAGGTCTTCATCTTCCTTCATTTTCTTTGGTAGACACYCATGTACATGTAAAATTTTATTTAAAATTTGCACATTTTTCTCCTGTTAAGCTGTTTTATATCAGTTTAATTCATAGGCCCAGCTAGAGAATTTTTTTTCTGCCCCAGAATGTATTCTATATGCAATCTCATCTATCTCTCTGTAAAGTTAGCAATTACTATGTTATACCAAAGAAAACATATGTAATGACTAAATTCACTCTCTACTAAATGGAATACCAGATTCTAAACCTTGCATTTGTTGTTCTGATACTCTTTTTAATGCAAAATTTTGCACTATAAATATCCCTAGCTCTGTCTTTAACAAGAATTGATCAGAGCCATTTCAGCTGAGTCTTGAGGGGGAAGTACTTCCAGTAGAACTTGGACCAGAAAGGACCACAGGTAAAGGCAAGGGTAAGTACCAAGACATAGATATTTGAACTATCATTATTTATGTCAGCAGAGTAATACAGGGTTGAAGTTTGGGAGAAATTATAAAAGATGGTTATGGGGAAGCAGGGCAGAAAAATATCTAGACCATCAATTTACATAGGCTTCAGCCAGATTCAGAAGGAACCTGTACTTTTAAGTACTTTTAAGTGTTGAATGAGTAGATGGATGAATGAAGGCAAGAGAGATCCATACCCCAAATTCAGATTTGACTGTCTTCAAAGCTCATTTTCCATTCATGGAAGGTAAGGATAAATCAAAGAGATCTTCATCAAATCTTCAGGAGAGACAGAAAGAAATAYAGGCCTATCCATTTATAAACTATTTCCAACTCCAACTGAAATGGGACTCACATTTGTTTAATTTTACTTATGCTAGATACCAGTGAGGCCAACATCAAAGATCACTGTAACACACAATGGCTTTGTTCTATCTTTTAAGAGTTTTTCAGCTTGTTTTTTTAAATATTTATATTTAATATTTATAGGACATAGAATATATAGTTGGTATTTTTTTATGGATTGCATATGTCATTTTGTATAATCTATAGAGCTTTCTGGGGAAGATGTTGTCTTTGTTTTGTAAAGGAAATAATTGAGGACCAGAGAAATAGGATGAGTTTTCTCATGTCACTCAGCTATTAGGTGGCTAATAAGTTTTAAATTCAGGTCCATTGCAATCAAAAGTGCATACTTTTCTTTTTATACCATCTTTCTTTCTTCTGCAGCTCCTAACACTGATGACTATCCCTTTCCTGAAATTTCCTCAAGATACTTCTCAACATCCTTTTTCGACMTGATCATCCCTTTTGAACACCCTCTATGGTTTTATCTTCTGTTCACCCTCTAAATAATGTTCCCTAGGGTTCTGACTTTGGCCCTCTTATTTTTATGCTGCATATGCTTTTACTGTTTATATCATCCTCTCTCGTACCTACTCTTACAGAGTAAAGAGTAAGCAGTAAATTTACACTATGTGTTTAAATAGTAGGTATGTTAATAATAGGAGTATTATACATTTTCATTATTCATAGTAGAGGTATGCTACAAAGTCACAGGAAACACTGAACTACTGAGTACAGGATCATTGTTGTTAYGGGAAATACATGGTGAGGGTTTCTAAGAGATTCTGGTTACATTTTCAGCAGATCAATATATAACCACATTTTACACCTATTTTTGCATAAATGCACCTTATTTAATATATACTGTTGATTCATTGACATTGAATACACAGCCAACAGCACTACAACTCATTYCAGAAGGAAGATAATCTAACACTCATTGTGCTTTCTCATTAAAGCATATCCACATGGGAACTTTAGATAGTACTTCAGCACTATACTTATGGGCCATTTAAAAAATATTTTATTAGTTGTTGATGGATCTTTGTTTATTTATATGTGGTGCTGAGAATCCAACCCAGTGCCTCACACATGCTAGGTAAGCACTGTACCACTGAGCCACAACCCCAGTCCCTTGTGGGCCATTTTGAATAGTAAAACCACCAGAGGAAAGCACAAAGATATTAAAAACACGGCACTAWATAGATTACTAAAAAAGACATTTGTTTCTAGTTTAACTAAGAKCTGAAGCAAAAAGGCAAAGCATCACCTTTTTTGACCTCAGCTGGAAACATGTTCATTTGATGACTCACAGTTTTTGCTTCTCTGGGCATGTCTGTGAATGACCACAAAAGCACTGCAAATACTGATTGTGAATGACAAATTTTTAAAATGTTAGCAGCAGGCAAATTTCCTAATATTAAAACTGCAAATAATGTGGATTGACTGCATCTAKGATCCCCAAATCTGTTTCTCCAGTACCCAGTTGTTTATTTCAGGTGTATATTTTTAATTGTCTTTCCAACTGATATTTTCACTTGGATGTCTCAGAAACATTTCATTTAAAACCCAAACCTCTCTTTTTAAAACTGCTACTTTTTCATTCTATCACTTCTTTTATCATCATCTAACTTTAGATAGAAACCAGAGCCATTTTTAAATCTGTTTTTTATTTAACCTCACAGTTAATAAATCTTTGGATTTCTTCACCCAAATATCTCCTGACTATATCTTCTCCTTTTCACCCTTACCTCCATGGACAGAACCCACATTCTTACAGTTTCTCACCTAGGCTGTCACACTTGCTTCACCACATGCCTCTGCCTCCACTCTGCCTTCCCCATTGATTGCAGCATGATGTCTCAAAAGCACAAAGATGACCATGTTGTTCCTCTGACCAAACCCCCACCACCCAGAGGAAGACAAACACTAACTTCTTCTTATGGAATATAGAACTCTTCCTAATTTGTGGACTTTTTATTTTTCCAGCATCACCTCATTCTCTCCCCATGTACATTAGCTATCTCGGGCCACTCATCACTTTTCATATATGCCATGTCCTTTTGCCCCTCAAAATTCCTTGGCATGGAATTTTCTTGCCCTCTTTTTACCCAATAAACACATTTTCATCCTGCAGGATCATTTATTTGAATATGACTTTCCTGTACAACTAGAGAACTCTGCACATAGTACTTTCATGAAGGGTTTTTTATTGTATTATTATCTGGTGTCTCTAGACAATGACACCCTCTATCTCCAATGCTTGTTCTTAATAGAAACTTGATAATATGCCATGATTATCTCCCATCTCTACCCCACAGTCACAAATGTGCTGATTTTCAATGCTTAATATATTTCGATTTGAATTTCATATATAAATGGATATTCTCCAATCCATTTGGTTATCTGTTTCCAACTTTAAAATTCACAGGATATAGGATGTAATTAATACACCTGAATTTCTCAGTATGTATTCACTGATTGTGGTGCCTAAGCAGGGATGAACTTCTCCTGGGTGGGTGAAATTACTCCTCTCCAAGCCTGAAAGAGCCAGAAAGAGCCCAAAAGGGACTTATAGTTGAATTAGAAAGGTTTGTTTTACTATCTTATTAAACATTCACTGTGTGAAATTTCAGTAAGTATGAAAACTTAAACTTTAATCTTAACAATTTTTATCAGCAACGTACCAAATTTTACCAATGCTACAGGGTATGAAAAACAAATATCTTTTTTTCTCATCCTCTGAATCTAAGCACATGCAAATAAGACTTTGTAAAATCTAAAGTTAAATTTGCTATCATAAAAAAGCACTATGGGAACAAAGAAGGTGAAATGAATTCCAGTTGAGGGGACTTGAGGTACCCGAAAGGGTGTCATCAGAACTAACCATTAAAGGATTGGGAGATTTTCAGCAGATGAAGATGATGCAAGGACCTACCAGACAGAGGGGACAGACCACAGATTCAAAGGGGAGAATGTACAGGGCATGTTTGGAGAATGACGTGAAGAACTAAAGGTTCTAAGCAGTGAAATAAGAGGTCAGAAACAATTGAGAAGGATCATAAATGCAATGTTAAGGAGTTTGGCCTTTATTTCTAGAAACCATTGTGAAAAATCAAAGATTTTTGTTGAGAAGATGATAATATCTGACCATATGT